CCGTGCATTAGTTTGCATTTAGTTTCATACATGGAAACACTCTTGCATTAGTTTGCATTTGGTTTCATACTACGAAATCGCGCTCGTTAATCATTCGGTATGCTTTGTATGAACTAAACATAATTTATCAATGTGCAAAATGAACAACTCCCATGCACAGATCTGGCCATGTCTCATGTATACAGAGATGGGATTGTGTGTCAAGCGTTTAAGAATGACATAATGTCTTAGATCTGTGAAACGAATGTCATAGTTCAAGGTCGGATAATGATATATCGCACGTGTATAAAATAATATCAAGGATTCATTCAGGACACAATCGCAGCGCATGTCACGTTATCTCCCCGACTTACGATGTTATAATACGATAGTAGCTTTGTGGGACGGGACACATATCTCTAATGTACGGAACTAATGACGCTTCAAAAATGACATGATATCAAACCAATTGAAATAATGGCATATCATACCTATAGAAATAGCGACATATCAAAGCTGTTGGCATAACGACGGAACAAATCTATTGAAATGCCGATGTATCAAACCTACGTATGAAACCTATTTAAAAATGGACGGATCAAACCCATTGAAATAATGACTTATTAAACTTATTGACATAACGACGCATCAAGTCTGTTGGAATAGTGATGCATCCAAGTTACTGAAATAGCGATGTATCACACATATTGAAATAACGACGGAACAAACCTATTGAAATACCGACGTATCAAACCTACGTATCAAACCTATTGAAATAACGACATATCAAACCTATTGAAATAACGACGTATCAAACCTACGCGTCAAACCTATTGGAAAATAGACGGATCAGGCCTGTTGAAATAGCGACACATCAAAGCCATTGGAATAGACTATCAAACCTATTGAAATAACGACGTATCATACATACTGAAATAACGACGTATCATACATATTGAAGTAACGACGTATGAAACCCACGTATCAAACCTATTGAAATAAACGACGTATCAAACATATAGAAATAATGACGTACCAAACGTATTTGAAATAACTATGCATCAAACGCTTTAGACCTAAACAAATACTACCATATGTCAAAACTACATATTAATATCGTGTTTCAGACGCATAGTGAATGTCGCCTTAAATCGATGTTAGCAATATTGCAGCAATATCACGGCGGGGACACCAGAAAATGGCTTCACGCTTTGTTCCCACGCGGAGAATCGATCCAGGGTCTCTGGTGTCGAGCGAACGCTTGAGCCATAAGGCTACCCCACTGTATAGAACTAATATAACATTTTAAATACGTCAAACGTTGTGACGTAGACGTAAGGATATGATACCATGGCATCACCAGAAAAAAGAAATGCCCCCGACACATGCTTCAAACCTGAAACAATATTTTTAATTCTCAAGTTTAAACCTAGATTATGTTGGGAATTAGTTTTATTTTTCTACAATTTCATATAGATATATCACATACGGACCCTAAAGTAGTGTTCATCCTATTACTAGAAAGTTCAGGCGTATTAAAACATTTCAGGTAAGATATTTGAATTTTCAAATAATATCCGGTTTCAATTAAGTTAAAATTTTACGCACTAAAAGTCATAGAGCAGTCTTGTTTGTGCAGACATTTTATGGCAATGTATTGAATTCTAAATCTACAACATCAACTAATAAGAAAATATTGGCTATCTCCGTTGAAATGTACGTTGGTGGAATACAGAAGTGGATATTTCTCGTCAATAATCCACGTCAGAATATCGTTTCTTCTCGTGAAAAATATTAACTTGCTTCCAAATTCAGTACTGTATTTTTGTTTTTACATGTTAACGGGATGATACTTTTTCAATTGATTCAGTACAGATCAATGTTTTCCTTTGAGTTTATGTATCGTTAACGATCGCTAAATATCAATGAGAAAGTTTGATATTTCATATGATGGGAAATACATAAAAAAACACTAATTATTCATCTGAAGTCAGAATATTATCCAGCATCTTTCATCGTCTGCATATTTCGTTCATCTCTGAAAACAATTTATGCACGTGACAAGAAAAGTAAAACAACGAAAGCCGTCGCAAATTTAGAAGCATATTATGTACAAACAACTTAGAAAATACTTCTCAAAAAAGGCTGTATAAAGTGTTAATCAAATGTAAGTTTCCTTGGGGGTGTAGTTTTAATAACATTGATTCAATCCGCCTTGTAACGTAGACACGTCAATATACCTTTGTGTGTAATCACGACAGCCGAGACGAACGCTGGAATAATCCCCGCTGTGGAATGTCGGTTTTATAGCAAAACACAGACAACGGTGTCGGATAATTTGAACTTATTGTCTGTTACACACTAACCACTTTTGCCAAAGATTTACACTAGCTGAATCGCATCACAGGCGTCAGTAGCGTTTGCGATGTGCTTTAGCCGAACTTTGTCAAATGATTAAGATAAAGGCATCAGTTAGGTTTGGGATGTTTTTGTAGCCGAAATTTGTTCAAGGATTAAGGTAGTTTGTCATCACGCAACCAACCTTGATACTAACTAACGCCACCTGGTGTCGTCATTGTCAACAAATATCTGAATAAATATCACAGGATCAGAGATACCTTCCGGTTATCATTATATACTGAATTGATATGAATTACCCGATATGTGGTGTTGAAACTGAGTCATGCTGTCACATGTCTCTACTTGAATAAGGGTCGTGGGGTCGCCTAGAGGTTAAAGCGTCCGCTCGTCACGCCGAAGATCCGGGTTCGATTCCCCACATTAGTACATTCCTGGTGTCCCCTGTCGTGGTATTGCTGGTATATCTGCGTAAAACCCAACTCACTCTACCGGAGAAAATATATCGGGAAGCCTAAGTAGAGGTTAATAAGTTATTCACGTGTACATGTAGCTATAATAGTTACGTCGTAGATATATATAAGTGAGCGCGCAGCTACAATAGTTACATCGTAAATATATATTTTTGGCGTGTAACTATAGCAGTTATATCGCAGATATATAAGTTGCCGTGTAACTATGATAGTTACGTCGGAGATATACAGGTTAGCGTGTAGCTGTAATACTTACGTCGTAGATATATAGGTTAGCGATGAGCTATAATAGTTACGTCGTAGATATATAGGTTAGCGATGAGCTATAATAGTTACGTCGTAGACATATAAGTTGGCGTGTAACTATAATAGTTACGTCGTAGATATATAGGTTAGCGATGAGCTATAATAGTTACGTCGTAGATATATAGGTTAGCGATGAGCTACAATAGTTACGTCGTAGATATATAGGTTAACGTGTAACTATAATAGTTACGTCGTAGATATACAGGTTAGCGTGTAGCTATAATAGTTACGTCGTAGATATACAGGTTAGCGTGTAGCTATAATAGTTACGTCGTAGATATACAGGTTAGCGTGTAGCTATAATAGTTACGTCGTAGATATACAGGTTAGCGTGTAACTATAATAGTTACGCCGTAGATATACAGGTTAGCGTGTAGCTATAATAGTTACGTCGTAGATATATAGGTTAGCGATGAGCTATAATAGTTACGTCGTAGATATATAGGTTAGCGATGAGCTATAATAGTTACGTCGAAGATAGATTGGCGTGTAGCTATGATAATAACCATAGTTATATTTTCTGGCATGTAACTATACTAGTTATCCCGTAGTTATACAGGTTAGCGTGTAGCTATAATAGATGCATTGTACTTACACATATTACCATCAAGATATACTAGTCACGATACACATAATACCGTTTTGCAGCTATAACGGTTACTCTGTACAAAAACAAGTTGTACTTCAGACATTCAAATTATAAAGGCTCCATTGTATTTTAGCGAGTTAAATGTAGCTACGGAGGTGATGTTGCTCAAATACAACCTTCATTGCGGGTATACGTATTCAATATAAAAAACCCATTGTATCCCAACTGGTAAATAACGTAATCTACAACACAGGAATGGTAGTTGCATGACGTCATCGTGTTTTCTGCTGTCTACTCAGCTATGACCATGTCATTATTTCCTACGTTCGACATATAGTAGTCCTCTGTAACCTATCGATGTGTTAGCAAAATGCCATTCCTCAACAGATGCTAACAACTCTAAGTGCTAAGAGGTGTCAGAGGATCTGGCAACAGGAGACCAGCAGCCTTTCGGGTCACTTAAAATGACATGCGCATGACACTCAGCATGTAAGATACAGGATAAACAACCCTTGTCGCAGATGACTGACAAGAAACCTCGTCCACCTGCCTCTAGGTGGCAGCGCTTGTCCATCTGATCACGGACAAGAACCGGAACACCAATCCAAGTCTCCAACTCTCATATGTGTGACTAACAACCTTTGCTTAATGGGTTTTACAATGAATGCTATATTGATCATGCCAATTTCTCGTATTGTTCTTAGTTTGTCTGTTTTATTTTAGTTCTTCGTGTTTTCTCTTTCGCATTGGTTCAGATATGTTTTTGCGTAGTGTGTGTTTTTTTATCTAAGACAACCAACATTGGAAAGGCGATTACAGACATGTTAGCAATAGGAAAATTGCAAATAAATGGGAAACACACTGTAAAAATATTAGTGTCCCCTTGTTCAAAAATATTCTAAATCAGAAATGTTTTGACCCTAAATCTTCAACAAATCTCACAAAAAAACCTTCATCACTTGAATGTGAAGAAACCACAATGCAAAGACGAAAAATATTATTATGTCTGTAAGAAAAAAATCGTATATTTGAATTATGCAATTTAAAAATAATTATCAAAGTTCAGTATAATGAATGTGAGTGTTAGTTCCAAACTTTACCTATAAACACGAATAAACGGCATTGTTACATATGAGAATAACTTCACACATGGCCCGATAACAATACTACATACCGATAATCAGCCAACATAGCCATACAATCATATCTTAAAGGAGTTAACATGCATATTACATCACTGAAGGCTGAGAACCTAAGCAAAGTTGTCAAGAACGTTGTCTGAGTAATCTACTCACTTGAAAATCCAAAAGTAAAGTTTCCTTAAGTTGGTCCAAAGTAGATTCGTGTAGAGTGTTACAAGCTGACCATCCCCCGTGAACGCACAGACCAAGCTTTCCTTTCTCAAACCAAAGACCGCCCTCCTCTTCTGGTCCAGTTAAATACTTCACCGCAACGTAGGCGGATGCAAGCCACAAGTCACTGCGCATGCGCTGGCGTTGGCCGCCATGACATGATTAGCTGGTACCAACACGCGTCACGGTGGCCTGGGATTTAATTGGTGATGAACAGGGCAACGCGCTCCGTTTGAGAGAGCTCACAGGACAGGAACTGTCGCGTAGATTATCGACTACTATAGCCTGGCTGCAACTTGAGGGTCGATAAGGCGATAGGTAGTGTTCCGAGCATATTTATTATCCGTATAACGTGAATGGTCTGAAGGGTATAGTTAGATAGATACTGATGGCGAGAAGAGAAAGACGTATAGGAATCGCGGGGGTATTTTACAGCGATGGCAGTGTCTGAATGTCACTAGAAGGAAACGTTTTCTGGATTTTGAGCTGACATGTCAACTTCACTTTTACACATGAAAGCGACATGATTTGTTCAATTGCTCTAAGATCAACACTAGCTATTGATACAACACAGTACAATGTAATACAAGTACGTTATATGAAATGCAGCAGGTACATGCCCATTACTGGCACCAAATCAAGACTTATGAAAAGTATATAGAAACATTACTTCAATTACACTACACACGTACCATTAACACATAATACAGCATGGCACCTTATATCAGACTGTATCACAATGTCAATATACTACAATACCAATATGACACTGCAGTATATTACAATACCGTTATCCCACTAAACCAATATCATAATGCCAATGTACCACAATGTAGTATATCACAATACCAGTATGCTGTAACAACAATATCATAAAGCAGTATATGACATTACCAATATACCACAATGCCAATATCACTGTGCAGTATATCAAAATACCACAATACCAATGTCACACTGCAGTATATTACAATACAAATATCACACTGCAGTATATTACAATACCAATTTCACACAGCAGAAATTACAATACCAATATCACACTGCAGTATATTACAATACCAATATCACACTGTAGTATATTACAATACCAATATCACACTGTAGTATATTACAATACCGATATCACACTGCAGTATATTACAATACCAATATCACACTGCAGTATATTACAATACCAATATCACACTGCAGTATATTACAATACCAATATCACACTGCAGTATATTACAATACCAATATCACACTGCAGTATATTACAATACCAATATCACACTGCAGTATATTACAATACCAATAGCACACTGCAGTATATTACAATGCCAATATCACACTGCAGTATATTACAATACCATATCACACTGCAGTAGATCACAATACCAACATCACACTGAAGTATATCACGATACCAAAATCAAAGTGCAGTATATTACAATACCAATATCACACTGTAGTATATCACAATACCAATTTGACACTGCAGTATACCACAATACCAATATCACACTGCAGTATATTACAATACCAATATCACACTGCAGTATATTACAATACCAATATCACACTGCAGTATATTACAATACCAATATCACACTGCAGTATATTACAATACCAATATCACACTGCAGTATATTATAATACCAACATCACACTGCAGTATATTACAATACCAATATCACACTGCAGTATATTACAATACCAACATCACACTGCAGGTATATACAATACCAATATCACACTGCAGTATATCACAATACCAATATCACACTGCAGTATATCACAATACCAATATCACACTGCAGTATATTACAATACCAATATCACACTGCAGTATATCACAATACCAACATCACACTGCAGTATATCACAATACCAATATCACACTGCAGTATACCACAATACCAACATCACACTGCAGTATATTACAATACCAATATCACACTGCAGTATATTACAATACCAATATCACACTGCAGTATATTACAATACCAACATCACACTGCAGTATATTACAATACCAATATCACACTGCAGTATATTACAATACCAATATCACACTGCAGTATATTACAATACCAGTATCACACTGCAGTATACCACAATACCAACATCACACTGCAGTATATAACAATACCAATATCACACTGCAGTATATCACAATACCAATATCACACTGCAGTATATTACAATACCAATATACAGTATATTACAATACCAATATCACACTGCAGTATATTACAATACCAATATCACACTGCAGTATACCACAATACCAACATCACACTGCAGTATATTACAATACCAATATCACACTGCAGTATATTACAATACCAATATCACAGTGCAGTATAGTATAATACCAATATCACACTGCGGTATATTACAATACCAATATCACACTGCAGTATATTACAATACCAACATCACACTGCAGTATATTACAATACCAGTATCATACTGCAGTAAACTACAATACCAACATCACACTGTAGTATATCATAATACCAGTATCACACTGCAGTATACCACAATACCAACATCACACTGCAGTATATTACAATATCAATGTCATACTGCAGTATACCACAATACCAACATCACACTACAGTATATTACAATACCAATATCACACTGCAGTATATTACACTACCAGTATCACACTGCAGTATATTATAATACCAACATCACACTGCAGTATATTACAATACCAGTATCACACTGCAGTATACCACAATACCAACATCACACTGCAGTATATTACACTACCAATATCACACTGCAGTATACCACAATACCAACATAACACTGCAGTATATTACAATACCAATATCACACTGCAGTATACCACAATACCAACATCACACTGCAGTATATTACAATACCGGCATCACACTGCAGTAAACTACAATACCAACATCACACTACAGTATATCACACTGCACAATACCAGTATCACACTGCGGTATATTACAATACCAATACCAGTATAACATCACACTGCAGTATATTACAATACCAATATCACACTGCAGTATATTACAATACCAACATCACACTGCAGTATATTATAATACCAATATCACACTGCAGTATATTACAATACCAACATCACACTGCAGTATATTACAATACCAACATCACACTGCAGTATATTACAATACCAATATCACACTGCAGTATATTACAATACCAATATCACACTGCAGTATATTACAATACCAACATCACACTGCAGTATATTACTGGTAATACAATACCAATATCACACTGCAGTATATTACAATACCAATATCACACTGCAGTATATCACAATACCAATATCACACTGCAGTATATCACAATACCAACATCACACTGCAGTATATCACAATACCAACATCACACTGCAGTATATCACAATACCAACATCACACTGCAGTATATCACAATACCATCTCACACTGCAGTATATTACAACACCAATATGACACTGCAGTAAATTACGATATCAATATCACACTGCAGTATATTACAGTATCAATATCACACTGCAGTATATTACAATACCAATATCACACTGCAGTATATTACAATACCAGTATCACACTGCAGTATACTACAATACCAATATCACACTGCAGTATATTACAATACCAACATCACACTGCAGTATATTACAATACCAATATCACACTGCAGTATGTTACAATACCAATATCACAATACCAACATCACACTGCGGTATATCACAATACCAACATCACACTGCAGTATAGTATATACCAACATCACACTGCGGTATACCAATACCAACATCACACTGCAGTATATCACACAATACCATCTCACACTGCGGTATATTACAACACCAATATGACACTGCGGTAAATTACGATATCAATATCACACTGCAGTATATTACAGTATCAATATCACACTGCGGTATATTACAATACCAATATCACACTGCGGTATATTACAGTATCAATATCACACTGCGGTATATCACTGCGGTATACCATACCAACATCACTGCAGTATATCACAATACCAACATCACTGCATGCACAATAGTATCACAATACCAACATCACACTGCAGTATATCACAATACCAACATCACACTGCAGTATATCACAATACCAACATCACACTGCGGTATATCACAATACCATCTCACACTGCAGTATATTACAACACCCAATATGACACCAACATCACTGCAGTAAATTACGATATCAATATCACACTGCAGTAAACTACAATACCAATATCACACTGCAGTATATTACAATACCAATATCACACTGCAGTATATTACAGTATCAATATCACACTGCAGTATATCACAATACCAACATCACACTGCAGTATATCACAATACCAACATCACACTGCAGTATATCACAATACCAACATCACACTGCAGTATATCACAATACCAACATCACACTGCTGTATATCACAACACCATCTCACACTGCAGTATATTACAACACCAATATGACACTGCAGTAAATTACGATATCAATATCACACTGCAGTATATTACAATACCGGCATCACACTGCAGTAAACTACAATACCAACATCACACTACAGTATATCACAATACCAGTATCACACTGCATTATACCACAATACCAACATCACACTGCAGTATATTACAATACCAATATCACACTGCAGTATACCACAATACCAACATCACACTGCAGTATATTATAATACCAATATCACACTGAAGTATATTACAATACCAACATCACACTGTAGTATATTACAATACCAACATCACACTGCAGTATATTATAATACCAACATCACACTGCAGTATATTACAGCATCAATATCACACTGCAGTATATCACAATACCAACATCACACTGCAGTATATTACAGTATCAATATCACACTGCTGTATATCACAATACCAACATCACACTGCTGCATATCACAACACCATCTCACACTGCAATATATTACAACACCAATGTGACACTGCAGTAAATTACGATATCAATATCACACTGCAGTATTTTACAGAATCAATATCACACTGCAGTATATTACAATACCAATATGACACT